CTAGCAAAGCAAAGCAAAGCAAAGAGTGAGTGGTTCGAGGGGGACCGCGGCCTTTCCGCCCCGCTCTCTTGACCTCTTCTTCGTGCTTGACAAGGAAGCAAACAACATCCACGTTCTGTCTCTGTTTCAGACGCCGAGTCTTCCACGACCGCCCTGGGCTGACGAGATGAGACGTGGAATGATCTGTTGTTACCTTGCCCACTCTCCTTTCACACAGACAAGAACAAGAAGGGCAAGGCGTACACACCCTTCCGCGCGTGAGTGCGCACCGGGTTGGAGCTGTTGCTACTTTGTCCATCTCTGTCCACGCTCTCCGTTTCTCTTTACATCGCTCCAGCATCCCCGATACGCGGCGGTATTGGGATCGAAGTCATGTCTCGAGGGCAAAAAGCAAAGGCGCATATGCGAGATTGCGCAAGTCGCCGCTGAGCATGCTTCTTGCCCATGCTTTCACGGAAGTCCCCACCTGAAGCTGTAAGCCCGCTGTTACGTGATATCGCAAATGAGTCAAGACTATAAACATCAAGAAGCATCGCCAGCAGAAGCACAAGTCATCGACTGAGTAGTTTTGGACACTGCATGTTTATGCCCTCGCCTTCAAGCATACCTTGAGGCTGGCACAAAAAAACAAAGGAGACATATGCACTGTAGTCCCCTGCTCAAATTCAAAACAGAACTTCCGCCCGACCTGCGAATTCATGATGTGACCAGTCCAGCTGTAATAGGGCCAGACCCGGCGCGAAGTTTTGCAGGCATGTTTGTCGTCCGTCCGTGAAAAAAATCATCAGCTCGCCAGGCACGGGCCGCTTTGGCAGAGAGCCTGGTGAAGATCGCCGACCTACAGGCCGCTCTTGTATTCCGTGCGTTGGTTTCGGAGTGTATACTCGAGGGCGGCTAGTGTGTCAAGAGTGGGTGATCGCAGCCAAGGATGTGAAAGTCCGAGCTTGAAAAGTCCTGATGTTTGCAGAAGGTTTCTTGCGATGGGTCGAATCTGGGCAGGGTTTAGGTTCTAGTCACTCCATGACATAGGCTACTCTGCGGCCAGGCGCAACTGGTGACGGTGCGTGCCGGGCTTAGGAAAGTTTTGAGAGGTCGGATGTGGTCCTGGTAGTTGGCATCAGGCCAGGCAGCTTCACCACCGTGCAGCCCCACAACTTTGGAGCTACCACCTGAGAGCTTGTTGCAAGCTGATTTGGCGCAGATGAAGTGCCTCTTCGGCAAGCAAGCTGTGCTCATCATCTTGGCATGTGTGCCTTCGTTCACCGGCACGCGATACCATTGTGCACAGACCGACCTTACTTGTTCTCTCGACGCTTGCCTGCGAGGCAGGCGCTCTCCCGGCAGGATGCCATTATTGCGGACCTTCAGACGCAGATCACGGCGGTCCGGGCAGAGCGCAGGAGCCAGCCAGGGGAACACACAGAAACAGTATGCATGTGAGCAGAACTCGTGCCAAGGCGTACGACTCATGCAATGACTTGTGAGGCGATGGCAGGACCTTTGCGAAAGAAGGGAACAGCGGCGCTTGGAAGCAGAGGAGCACGTTTCCAAGTTTCTGACAGCATCACAACAAGTTCGGGGTGAGAAGGTTTACGAAGGTTATTTGAACAGAGTCTCGCAGAAGATTTGCAGGAGATGGCTGTTCTGAGTTGCCCGAGCCCGTGTGCGGCATGTGGCTTCAGGTGATCACCCGTCATCCTCCTGCTTCCCGCCTTGCTTCCGTGTACGTGCCCCAGCCATGGGAAAGGGATTCGCCATCGACAAGTCCTTGGAGGCCAATATGCACCAGTACCAGATCGTGGGCCGCGCAGCACCAACACCGAAGAACCCGACTCCGAAGATCTACCGCATGAGGATTTTTGCCCGGAATGTGGTGCTGGCCAAATCCCGCTTTTGGTATTTCATGAAGAGGCTCAACAAGGCAAAGAAGAGTGGTGGTGAGTTGCTGTCCGTGAATGAGCTGCACGACACCTCCCCTACCAAGGTGAAGAACTATGGCATCTGGTTGCGGTATGACAGCCGTACCAACACGCACAACATGTACAAGGAGTTCCGCAATGTGAACATCAACGGCGCTGTTGGGCAGCTCTACCAGGAGATGGCCGGTCGCCACCGCGCAGACCCCGGTTCTATCCAGATCATCCACGCGACCACCATCCCTGACGAGAAGTGCCGCCGCGAGCACGTCCTGGAGATGCATGACAAGAAGCTAAAGTTCCCAGTCGTCAGGAAGATCCCTCATGCTGCCAAGAAGTTGCGCACCACCTTCAAGGCGAAGCGCCCGCAGACCTTTGTGAAGTAGAAGTGAAAGCGACGGCGTGCAGATGCAAAGAAGCAGATGGAGCTTTGACGGAGCAGAAAAGGGACCGCAGTGGCAGCAGGCATAAGGGTTCCCCGCCCCGGCAAGTCAGTGTTTGCCCGTCGCCCTTCAGCTAGGATGAAGTGCTCCGGCTGCGGAATGAGCTGGCGACCACTGCGCGACATAACTTGATGCGCTCCGAACTGGAGCGTACCGCAGAGGTCGTAACGCAGGAGGCGGGAGTCGGCGGGAGAGAACGAAGATCTTCCGTGCTTGCATTTGCATTCCAGGCCGAGCGCTTGGAGAAGGAGCTTCTGCACGTCCAGGGGCAGCTGCAGCAGTCCAACGGCCAGCTCGCCGAATTGGTTCACGGCCTAGAGTTCCTAAAGGAAAGAGCCCCTGATGTTCTTGAGTTCTGCTGACCGAGGCATCTTGCCTTGGAGTTCCAGATGTTGATTCTTCTGACGTCGCTCGCGACTTGAAATCCAAGGCGTGAAACAGCATTGCCGGAATGCTCGCATTATGATGTTAAGCACAGGTTCAATCATTGGAGGCACAGCTTCAGGAGTGCAAGGGCAAGTTGGGCGACATAGAGCCTTGTCTCCAGCTCATTGTCCGCGAATCATTTGTGTCATTGCCCATCGTTGTCTCGTCGCTTGCTGGGCAATTTCTGTCTTGACAGGCTAGAGTGTATGTGAGGTACTCATGCTTTGGTGATGTTGTTTTCGCTTAGGCCAGCGCAGCGGGAGTGGATGACGTGGAGTTGGTGCTCAGATCGATCGACGACTGGAAAGAGAAGGCAAGCGGTTTCTTCTAGCCATGGTGCATCGAACCACGGCTGCAAGAAGAATGCGAAGTTCACTTGGTGAGGTCCATGAGACCAGCCGTGACCTTTACAACCGAGACCAGCTTCTTGCGGAGGCAGCCGCGGGCATTGTTTCTTGACAAGAAAGCAGGAAAGTAAGGTATGGAGCCCCTGGAATTTCGTGGTACCTCCATCCCACGGCCTTCCCGACAACCGAGGCAGACTTTTTGGAGATCCTGGGCCTGGGATCGCTGGGATTGCCCAAAGGCGGAACTGTCGCAACAAAAAGGCTTCATCGGGCCCAAGCACACCTCGGTCTGCAGGTGGTCCCGAGGCCGCTCGAGCAGCCTTGCACGGTTTGGATGCTGCGGAGGAAGCCGTGCATTGCTGAGCCGGGGATGAGTCGAAGGCATCGGAAGCCGAGCCCTTGTTGGCATCCCAACAAATCTCAGGCGGCGAGAATGGCTCGTGCTGCAAAGGTGGCCAAGCAGATTGAGCAGACATGCGGGTGAGAGAGAGAGAGAGAGAGAGCAAGCAAGAGACCTTCCCTGCCCGTGAGGACGGATGACTCGGTGCCTCAGATGAAACATAACTGACATAACCGGTTGCGAGAGTGTCTGGGCATCACTCTCCCACATCTTTGCTGGTGTCAGGTCCTTGAATCATTGCGGTCTCCTTGAGTCGCTGCAACCGAGGCTTTGGCTTCTGATCCCTCATGACCGCAAGGCACCGAAAAAATCAAGAAGGTGCAAAAAGGGGCCAGCACTCCTGCCCATGCAATATCACTCCCTCAGCACTGAGCACTCCTCACATGTGCATCCTGCCTTCTGCCGGCTCAAACAGGAGGGCAAAACGATAAGTGTTTCACCAATATTTCCTACCCAGACGATTCTTACTTGCTTCTGTTGGGCTGTTGCCGGTATCAAAGGAGAGGGGTTCATATAATTGTGGCTGGCTGCGAAGCTGCCAGATCTGGCGAGACTTTTGCCAAGATGGCGCTGGAGACAAGTGCAGATATTTTTCATCGGGCACGGCGCGTCCTCATTGGTGCCACTTGTCACAGTGTCAGCTTGTCCAGAAGGTGTTAAGGGAGCGGTATGGAACAAGACTTTTTGCCACGGTGTCATGTCAGAAGCCTTCTGCAAGGCCAAAATGAGGCAGTCCAAGGACCTGCTGATATGTGTGCCGGGATATGAGATTGCTTCAGTGAGACTGCCCGTACGAGTATTGTGTTGTCAATAAGATCTAGAGGTCCACATTGCGACATGTTCCGTGCATCTGTTGCTTAAGTGGTAACGGAGCACTTGCAGCATCCAGCAAACTCTTGGAGAATGAAATGCAAGGCTTCGATGACGTGAAAGCGTCGTATACAAAGACGCACGGGCTTGGATAGTGCAACCAGCTCCTAAACAAAACGAGCAACCTTGGCAACCACATACTTGTCTTGTTACGTACCAGCAGCATGCACAGCCTTATGCACATCAGAAGTCGGGAAGTGCCTAGAGCGACCTCTGTTCTTCGTACCGTCGATGGCTTTTCAGTTTGAAGCAATCGGAAGCACCTGTCCTCATAAAAACATGATCGCAAAATTTCAGAATGCGGAAGACATGCGATTTTGTGAATTAGCATCATCCGCCTGTACAATAAAATCCGCGAATACGGGACTTCGGGCGAGCCTGTGTAGTCGAAAACCAAGTTCATTCCATTCCACTCCCATTCCCACTCCACTGCACCTCCACTCAGACTGCACACCAACAACCACTCTCCGGCTGATGGCTCTTGCCAAGGGAGTTGTTTAGGGTTTCGGCTTTAGGGTTTTGCATGGGTGGATTCCATGCGCATCATGAAGCGCGCCACTTCCGGTTTGAATTACGGACTGGGTCACGGACATACAGCACGAGTCCGAATGAAGCCCAGTTCCTCTCGCAGGAATCCTGGGATGAATTGTTCCACGCAGCAGACAAGGACTGTCATGGGCCTTTGTTCTGGCTGTGTTGGGTCGGAATGAGTCCCTGCATGTCCCATCCTTTTCGGCTATGGCAGGCACTTCTGTTCTTGCGGCCATGGCAGGACAGATCGAAGACTCTGGATCTGAAGGAACTGACGCAGGCGACACTGCCAAAGGATGTCATGACGTGGCCAGTCTTTCACAGAGCCGTTCTTCAGAACAAGCGGCTGCAATACCAGGGTGTGCATAGCTGATGATGCCTACCGATTCCACATGACTCCGCAGAGCCCGGTGAGCGGGAGCCAAGAACATTTCCTCGTGTCCTCCTGGATGTGGTCTACAAACGAGTTTGTGCCTGATTTTTGACTGGGTTCTAAATCCAGCCTGACCTGTCATTCTCGTGTTGCGATCCGGAACCACCTGACAACGTATTTTCACATCCAAATACGCTACCTTGTCCATATTTGTCCATACTCCAGTCCAAATCCCAAGCTGAGCCGATTTGGATCCACGTGTCCATCTGAGTCATCATCCGACATGAAAGCATGGAGTTGCCGGCATTTCCATGAGAGCTATCAGAGTTAGACCCCCCCCCATGTGGTGGGCAGGTCAGCCTTCGAGGAGTTACAAGCACACCTTTGTTTCTTCTTTTGTGAGGGGGGTGTCAGCAGGGCTGCAGGCACTGGCCTCGCATTGCAAAGCTTGTCGGAAGTGGGTAGTTGCAAGAGAAGTGTAAAACCAAGGGCTGTTGCACGGTGCGTCGCCAAAGTCCGGCTCAAGGTGAGACGCAGTGGTAGGTAGCAGTTTTGTCGAATTTGTATGATGAGGCTTGGGCCCTGATGGATGCTACTGGTGCATCCACATGCTAGGTTTGGAGACGTGTCTGCGCTGGTCTGCATTGGGCACGGGCTCAGGTTTCTCGTGCTCTTGCCCTTCGCTCTTTGCAGCACCTGAGTCACAATTTGCAATTATTCCAACGCTTCTCCAGACTGGCTTCTTTTCATCAGCATGCCCGGTTTCGTTTGGGTGTCAGGTGCCCAGTTCGTCTGCAGGGACCCTGGCTGGTCGGATGATTTCTGCTCGCCTCAGGGCACCAACGTCTCCGGTTGCAGCGGCGAAGGCGGAGAGAGTGAGCTTGGCAAACAAAAGCGCTGCAGAAGAGGCTGAGAAAGCGATGCGAGGCTATGGCCTGTTGCCCAGAAGCCCGGACTGGATGCAGATCCGCCAGCGTCTGATCCGAGAGAGCTCTGACTGCATCGTGACAAAGCGGCGAAGGTAGTGTAGGGTGGCATGGGGCTCCTTGCAGCATGCTTTTGACTGTCTCCGACTTCGCTGCTTACAAGGATCTTTGGACAGGAGATGCTCCCTCGCAAGTCCAGGCCAGAGTTGCGTCAGAGTACCATCGCTTATCGCCAGTAAATGACTAACTGGCCAGATAGGTAAGTGGTGATCTTGAAGTCTTGTTGTTCCTTCAGGCCGGACAGTGTCACAACGAAGGCAGTGCGGCATTTGTTTCCTGCCCCTCGAAGTGAAATATGGCCTGCATGCACGATCATGAGCCGGTGTTGGAATGTTGGAGAGCTGTAAAGCCCTCGCCTGAGGACTGTTTGTATGCTGCGTGGGGGAGCGGAAACAGAAGTGACTGTGAGAAAATCATCAATGTGACCGAAATTCGGTGGGCTATTCCTGCCAGGCTGAGAGCATCTCGGCTTTCACCTAGACTCTGGTTTTGTTGAACCGTCGCAGCTGTCATGTGCGATGTCGACTACGATGATGGAGCATGTCGGGCTCCTTATGTGCCCGCCTGCTCAAAGGCGAATTACTCCATGACGTTGACTTCGAAGGTTTTCTTGACACTCAACACTTCGGGGTATGCGCCGAACTACGACATCTGGGGCGCCCCGGCTTCACAGAGTTCCGCCAGGTTCGGCGGCGTTGGTTTCATGAGCTCATGCTCCGAAGGTGCAGGCCAGCCAGCAGATCCACAGCCCCCTGGCCAGGACAATCCAGGGAACCAACATGATGCCATGGAAAGGGCGACCTTCTGCAGCTGATGCCACCTGCAGCTTTTCTCCTAATCATACCATGTGCGTACTGTAGAGTGGCTTGGGTGACGGCATGGCTGAGGGTCGGGCAGGATGGCTGCCTGACAGCACAGGATGCCGCAGTGTTCCCGCGTGAAAAGGCTTTGAACAAGTCTCCCGACGCATGCTGTGAACACAAGAGCATCACGTGACTCTCTTCTTGTGTTCACAGCATGCGTCTGCTGAGCTTGTCCCGAGCGTCGGCAGACTTGTTCAAAGCCTTTTGGCACAGGAGCTCTGCGGCAACCTACAACAGAAGATCCATGAGATGGAGAGAGCCAGATGCTGGGATTCACAAGAGTACATGGAGTCGCTTTGGCCAAGGTGGCAACTGCTTCCCAGAGAATGTCTCAGACCAACAAGACAAACTTGAAGGCACTGCCAAAAGTAGGATCAGTGGTTATCACAGTAAATTCAATGGCCCGAAGCCCACGTACGAACTCAAGAACTCCACGTGGAAGGAACTGTCTGCCAACTGATTTTGAAAGTGCACTCCTTCCATGTGGAAGTCGTTGGAATTCAATTTTAGGTGCGAGAGATCCCGGGCATCATCTGGGAGCCGCTCCGGAGACTTTGAGCGATGACTTCACTAAGAGCAAGGGCCTAGTGAGGTTAACATTTGAGAGACAGCTTACAAAGATGCGCACCAAACTGACGCCTTTGCTTGGTTGTATTTTCGTAAGCTGGTAGAAAGCCCAGGTTGGGCATCTTTCACGAGCGTGCACTTGATTGAAGTTAGTCGGTGCAGATGGAATCAGATGGTAATCTCAACGTTGAGACGTGCTTCGTGTGCTTCTCATTGAATCGCCCAGTCCATGCCAAGTGGATTGAGGCTCGCAGTCACTGCACCGTCCGAAAGACGAAGTCTGAGTGCGTTGTCACCAACACCGGGAGCCAACACAGGAACCAACGACTGAGGAGGATACCTAGAACACGCCTGCCGGGCATTGAACGAGCTTTCAAAGTCTTCAACTTTGGATGCCTTGGAGAAACTGATGGACGAAACCTTGAAGTTGGACTTCGAAAGCGTACACCCTCAAGCGCACACACCGTGATTTTCGAGACTGGCGTGAGATGTTATAATATACGATACTATACTATACTACAATAAGATATAATAGACTATAATGTAGTATAATATAATACAGTATGCTATAATATAGTGTATAGCAGTATAGCAAAAAGCCGAGGCTTCCTCGTAAGGGAAAGACTTTGGTGCTCTTCCACAACGGCCACGGGATGTCGAAGGGCTGCCCGACATACGGAGACCGTCCCCCCACAAAAAACAGACATGTGTTATCGTTACGGTTTTTACATGCAGGCATGTTCGTTTCTGATGGCAGGAGACACGGATGGGAGCGCGGACTGGCTCAACCAGATGGGGTTTGATGTGGCTACAGTAATGTTTCCTGCCAGCGCTTCAGTACGTCTCAGCTTGCTTTCGAGCGTGAGTTTCCTGTCGGATTTGACGCGGTTTATCGGAAGGGTGGTCGGAAATGAATCTCCCGAAAGCTTCGATTCCCGCTTGAAACTTTATAATTGGTGGAAACCTTCTTCGTGAAGGCTCCTTGCATTTCACACTTCGAGTCTCGTGTGTGGAGGGATTGAATCCAGTCTCGCAGTTCTTTTTTGAAGCTCCTGTGTGATGTAGTGACACCATCCAAGATAATTTGGGTGCCCAGAGACATGAGTCTTCTTGACTGTAGAAACAGCTTCTGGAACTTGCCAGGGAATTGCAATTGCAATTTTCCGCTGTAGGCAAGGATTCGGGGACTTGCAGGGCCATGCACACACGAGCCAGACTGTAGCCCTGCGAGTCAACGGAATTCATGTAACATCATCTGCTTGTTTTGTTGGGCATCGTTCTTCTTGCGATCACCGGGTCCATGCCTGAATCAGAGCATCCATTTCAGGATGCCCTTCAAGGACTGCAACTCCGACCCCCATGATCCTCGCAGTCTGCATGTGGCTTTGACGCAGATCCCCGCCCCGCGGCCATGCCTTTTCGAGTTCTGCGGGAGCTGTGGCTATCTCTCATGCATCTGAGGCTTGGTTCCAGCCCTTCGAGGATGAAGGAAAGCCTTGGGTGAAGTACTTTCTTGAGCCAGTTCCTTGGCCGCTCGGGATATTTCTATTCAGCCTTTGCCCAGAGCTCCGCTGCTGAGGTAATCAACACTATCAATTTTGCCACTGATTCGTTGGCATATGCTCTCCAGCTGGATTACGGGTTAGGAGCCAGAGCTCGTCGATGCTTTGGAATCTGCCCCCTTGGGTTTGCAGCACTGAGTTGGAATCGGAAGTGAGTGGCATTTATGAGCAGAAGCAAAAGCGACAGTGCTGCCAGGAGAGGATCATCATGATGGGTTTGAGTGGAGGTGGTTGGACCACAACACTGGCGGCAGCCGTGGATCCCAGGATAGAGCCTTGACTCACCAGACTACAACGGGCACTTTTGAGATGTACTGTTCCTCTACATAACATTCAGTTGCCGCAATCAAGGTGCTCTCGATTCCGATTGCTGGCAGCCTTCCATGTGATTTCCGGCAGCCGGACTGACACACCACAGCGGATCGTGTTGGTGCTGACCCAAGAGAAGCCAATATTCTGTCAGGCACACCAGTTGGGACTTCGAGCAGTTCTGTTCCGATCGGTGGGCGCAGATAGGCAGCTCGGCTTTTCCAAATGGTGCGGCAATCTATGTGCCGGCGTGGATCAACAGGCGTGTTTCAAGCAGCGAACAGCATGCTTGTACACACCAGCGTCTGAGGAAACTACACGGCCTTGTACGTTCTAGCCGCCCTGGAGAAGGATCGAGCCAGCCTTTCGGCTTCAGAGGACGAACACTCACCTCAGCAGCACTGCCATAGAGAACGCGACTTGAAGCTTGAATGCATCTCCCGGCGGCAGGTGTGCAAATGCTTCACGAATCCGACCCCTGCTGCTTCCATGCCTGTGGTCGTCATGCGCGGATCCAGGACTGTCAGATCCGTGTTGCAAGAGATGTTGGCATGACGGTGGCATGGACATGAGACATCACTTCATGCCGGGAAATGAAACCTTTAGCGAGTCAGCCACCTCGTGCTAGCGTAAGCGCAGCAGTGCTGGAACTGCTGTGCAGCCTCTAGCAATCTACCTGGCATCAGCTGTCCCAGAAGCAAAACATAATGGAGCATCAGCGTCATGCCCACTGGACCGTAATGCTCGCTCATACCACGATTGAGATGACTCGACATGTGCCACGACACTCGTGGCAGACGGGAATTGCAAGTTGAGGTGGTCGGACTCTACCAGCGATCCTTTCAAGGGGGCTGCCATGAGTTCATCTTATCTTGCGAGCGGGGATGGCGACAATCTCCTCCCCGACTCTGCGCGTGCAAAGCAAAGGCGGTTGCGGACTCTTCGGGTCCATTGTAACACCAGAAACTGGGCCTTGAATAAGAAACCGCCCATCAGAAACTGCGCATCTGAAACCAGCCGCGCATCAGCAACTGCGCATCAGCAACTGCGCATCAGAAACTGCCGCGCATCAGAAACTGTGCATCAGAAACCGGCGTATCGGAAACCAGCGTGCGTCAGAAACTGGAGGCACAGAAAACTGGAGTTTGAAAACTGGCGCGGGGCCTGGGGGATGGTTGAATGTGGTTTCCGATTCAGCCGTTTTGGTTTCCGAATCAGCCGTCTGGTTTCTGAATCATGGCTGGTTTCTGATTCAGCCGTTCTGGTAACTGATTCAGTCGTTCCGGTAGCCGATTGCTCCGCCGACCGTAAGTAACTCTTCGCCTGCCCTGTGAAAATTCGGTCTCAACTATTTAGCAGGTTTTTGGAATCTACAAAGCCTGGTTAATCGCTTGAACGACCAAGAAGATTCATGAGAGTGTGACGCAGGCAACCCACAAATGGGCAGGAGCTGTTTTGGAGGCCAAATCAAACCCAAGGCTTGGAGACCCCAAGAAAGGTCCAGTGAGGACCACGACACAGGTTGGGGAAGTGGTCTGGGACACCACATGCACACGCACAGCCAGGACTACAACAGATTTGTCAATTCGGCCGCACGCGGTGTCTTCGAGACTGTCGTGACGCAGGGGAATCTGCATCAGTTCAACCCGAGTCTCGGCATAAGTGTGGAGATTCACTATGCGGTTTGATTTTGGGTGGCTCCAGCTTAGATCGGCGGCTGCCTTTTTGCTGTCTGTGAGGCGGGAGAAGGTGATTGCAGCGACTTTGATCGGCAAGATCGCTCGGAATGAGGCGACGTGTTCTGCTGCTTTTTCCATCGTCACAGCGGACCAGAGGTATACGCTAAGCCCGTCAGGAGATCAAGGCGTGCGACGTGCAGTCGCCATTCAACGTGCTCCACGACCACGACGAGCGAATGAATACACTCCTCACCTGAAAGTGTCCAGCCTGCCTGCACCACGAGCCAGGGCGCATCTACGACGAGTTGCGGTCAGGCAGTGCTAGAAGGCAGCCCTTTTCCGCTCGGCGGCCATGGAGCTTCGCAAGGGGCTCTGCCTGAGCTGCAAGGAAACGTCTTGTAGCAGTTGGCAGCAGGACTAGCAAAGCAAGCATGGGTCTAATCCCTGTGAGTCGAAGTGGAAGATGGAGCACTTCGACGTGTGCCTTTGTGGAGAGCTTGATAACCGGCGCTCCCATAGGCTTGTAGCACGCCTGGGCTTGAGCCCAGCCAGATACGGTGCGGATTGCACGAGCACAGAAACCTCGCGGCAGCGTAGCAGCGTGCAAGCTTTTTCTCTTTAAGACGTTAAGCTGATGCATCGAAGCTCGCGCGTTCCAGTGAAAGCTGTCACAGGTTCTTCGTGAAAAGCTACGTATTCCCGACACCACGCTCCGTGGCAGCATTGCGCCAGTGTATAGCTGAAGCTCCTTCTGTGCCGAAGCCGAGAAAGACTGAGGCTTCCGGACCATGAGATCCAGGTCGTCTTCTGCGAAATTGACCTTGACAAGCATCTCGGAGCCACGAAATGGTACCCATGGCATGTTGCACACCTGGCGCCGGCCGAGGACTGGGGCCATTTCTGGCCCCGAGTTTTCGCGGCATCCCGGCAGCACGTCTTCCAAGGCCCAGAGCGTGGAACTCTTCTCGCTGCCCAGGTTTGTCTCACGTGGACCTTTAAACCCAGAGGAGGAGGCCAAGCTCTTTGCAGTTCGGGTAAAAAGAGTACACCGCCGCTCTGCTGAGTGACATTGCGGATCTCCTCAGTGGACTTAAGTGTTGGCTGACCTGTAGCTTGCAGCTGCCACTCCGGCCGCCACAGCCAAGGGAACCTTCGCTTGGGATTCCGCAACTATAGGTGCCTTGGTCATACAGCCCGCAGAGTGGGCAAAAACATCCGGAGCGAGAAAACTTCTAAGGACAGATGATGCAGCACCTCGGTTGGCTTTCATCGTGTATGTGCCATTGTTTTGACAATTGTACTGTCAGACACCGGGCTGTCCTGTTCGTGAGCCAGAAGTACTGCTGCGTCCTTTCGTTTTGGTGTTGCGTTGGGAGGAGGGTCCTGGTAGGGCAACTCTCAGATTCTGCCAGATGCTGCTCATGGTTTCGTGGCCGTATGGGCAAAAATCAGCAAAATCTCCCTTGTTAACCGGTCATGCAGGCACCACCAAGTATCCATAGTATATTCTTGTTGCCCGTCCAGGCAGTGCGAAAGCTTTTCGATCGTATCGACAGAGGCGGTGACGGTCACTCGACTCGAATGTTGGCTAGTTGGGCTGAGCTTGCTCAGTGTGAAACCACCGTCTATCCCAAATCCAGGCCGCATCTCGATGCACGAGCTGATGGGCTTCGTGCGGGAAGACTTGTGTCTTGCGCCGCAAAGTTCGGGCTCTGACAAAGGTTCTAAGCTTTCCTGTTCGCCTGGCTCTGTGCCGTGGGCCAGCCTGTCTGAACATTTTGTCCGGCGGCTGTACCTGCTCCACGTGTATGAGCCCTTCTCGTGCCCAGGAAGCTGAGCAGGTGGGATGTCTTTGAGTCAGACGCTTGTCGGCAAGGAAGGCTGAACTGCCCATCACGCGTTCTTATTCCAGGGGAGTTCAAAGCCCCCTGAGGAAATGAAAGCCTTCTACAAGAGTATGGATGACAACGGAGATGGCTCCTTTTCTTGAACGGGCTTGTGTCCATGTGCTTTCCTGTTCTGTGCAGTGGCCGCTCGGGCTGGCCAGGTCTGGATGCGAATGAGCTGGTCAAGTTTATCCGTCACACACGGGCGGCAAATGGCAAGCAGAACCAGCGCAATCAGACGGGCCCTTACCTGGGACGGAGGAGGTTAGCAGTAGTTGGGCGGCAGAAATTCTTTCGGTACTGGTCCATGATGTGCCCATCTCTTGCCAACCACACAAAATTTTTGACAGCAACAATTGAGGTAGCAGCTATAGCCAGGCGTGGCCAGGTCATTTCTTGACAAACCTTTGCATGCAAAAGCCCAACACATCCTCGCAACCCTCGAGCAAGGCGATCACACGAGGTCGTCTAAAGTGAGGTGCAGGAGATATCGAGCATTTGTTTCCCGAAGGCTCTCTAGTTTCAGCACGTGAGCTTCAACTTGAGGGGCAGGTGGCTCGTGACGCCATGTCTGCTGCAGCTGGCTGCTGCTCTGCACAGCCTGTGAAAGCAGTGGTGGGGGGCTGCCGCAGCAGGCAAGGGCGCTGATGAAACTCCTTCGAGGGTGTGGCATGAACTATGCGGATGCTGTGTTGTTATTTGTGGTGCTGTAAGCAGATTCTCAGGTGGCCGCATGGCCGCCGTGTGCCTGGAGCCTCAGCAGCCTTGCGCGCCCAAGCCTGTTTGGAGGCCCGTCAGTGCATTCCCCACATCTTTCCTGGAGTGGCCAACGATGGCAAATGCATGGCTCGCCAAGTCTGAGAGGAAGCCCAGCGAGCTGAGCAGCGACAGGAGCCGTTGCAAGCTCAGCGGCGCTTCGAAGAAGCGGCCCAGCTCTGGCGACTCGACACGAGGTTTTGAATATCGCATATCGTTGCGTTTTGCAATACCCATGTAAGGTCTCGGATCTGTGGCCGGGAAGCCCTTGCAGCGGAGGCTTGGGCTGAGGCAGCGCTGCCGTCGAACTGAAGCTCCAAAAAGCACCGTGAACTACGGGGCTCTTCCTGCTAAGGCTGGCCGCCTGCGCCTTGAGCTCGGGGCTCCTTTGGACGCAGTGGCCGGGGCCTGCATGGGGGCGCTTGCAGAAGCTTCCGCGATCTTCGCAAGCGTCCACTGGCTGTCACTCGCCGTGGGAGGTCGCCTGCGAGCACGGCCTCCGACTCAGTGCACGGCACTGGCGCCTTGGCTTCCTCAGCGCGCTGGCGCTGGAGTCCATCGGCCTGCTCAGCACCGCCGAGGCCACAGCACCCAGCGAAACAAGGGAACAAGAGCGCTCTCTGAATTGCGGAGCGGCGAGCACAGGAGCGGCTCCAACAGGCAGCTCGGCTCCTCACCACCGAGGCACAAAAAAGGGTCCCGGCGGAATCTTCGAGCAGAGCCAACAGCTAGGCACCACGTCGGAGTCGGAAAGCCACGTCTGCGCAGGTGGCCGCGAAGGAGGCGCTCTCAGCTGTCCTGGAGGCCTTGCGCAGGGTCCGAGCACGGACTGCGCAGCTTCAGGCAGGAGAGCCACAGGTGCCTGGATCGCAGCTAGAAGAGGTGAGAATCTGCAGTCTGCGAATGTTTGCAATTCTGGACAGAAGTACAGACGCTGAGGCACTCATGGAGGAGATTCAGAGGATGGGCTCCTTACTGGGTGACAAAGAGGCCCGCAAACAATATCCTCAAGTCGGCACTTGCTACTGGACCTTCCGTCGAGCTCCGAAGCAAAAGCTTCAGGCGGGCTACTGGATAAGCAGCGTGGGAGAGTGCAGCCGCAGCGCAGAGGGCCAGGCAGAGCTTGTCCATAAAGGCAGGGCCTCCACCGTTAGTAGCCCAGACGTGCACTATCGAAAAGGAGGATTCGAATTCACGCCACAGGTTTCCTGGATTCATCGCAGCGTGACATGAAGCAGCCGGCGGCAGTGGCAAGAAAAGCGAGCCTGGTGGCAATGAGGTCCCCGCAACTTGGTCCTTGGAGCGAATCCTCTCTGTCTATGTTTGCGCGGTTCATCGCACGTAGCATCATTAAGGCTAGAGACGACCATTCCGTCACATGTCGGCCTTTCGGTTCAAAAGTCTAGGCGAGGAGGCGATGTCTTGTTTCTCTGCTTTTTCCTCATCGCCGTGGAGCGGCAAGGGTCGAGGTCGTGTCTATGCAAATATTTCCGAGGCAGTTGGGAACACACCATGTGTGAAAATCTCAGATGATATCTGCCCCAAGGGGCGCACGATCTATGCCAAATTGGAATATTTTAACCCATTGTCCAGTGTCAAGGACAGGACAGCCTGTGCAATCGTGGAGGATGCAGAGAAGAGGGGTCTTCTCAAGCACGGATCCACGCTTATTGAAGCCACGTCAGGAAATACAGGCATTGCGCTTGCAATGCTGTGTGCCCAACGTGGATACCGCTGTGTTATTGTTTTGGCAGAGTCCTTCTCGATCGAGCGCCGTAAGATGATGCGCTTCTTAGGGGCCAAAGTAGTTACAACCCCAAAGTCTGCGGGAGGTACAGGAATGGTCGCGAAAGCGAAAGAGCTTGCGCAAAAACATGGCTGGTTTTTGTGTCACCAGTTCGAGAACGAGGCCAATGCAAGGTTTCATTACGAGACCACAGGACACGAAATCCTGCACGATTTCCAGGGTGAGCGATTGGACTACTTCGTGGCCGGCTACGGCACGGGAGGGACCTTTGGTGGAGTGGGCAAGGCCATTCGAGAGCAACGGCCATCGGTGAAGCTATGCCTTGCAGAGCCAATGGAGTCTCCCATGCTGCGGTCCGGAATGGCCACGGAGCGGCATGAAGACGGCAGTCCCGTCACATCTCATCCAGCCTTTAAGATGCATCCCATCCAGGGCTGGGCACCGGATTTCATTCCAAAGATCGTGGAAGATGCCGAGTTGAGCCCGGGTTGCGACCAAGTCGTGCCCATACCCAGTTCGGGTTCTGCTGACATGTCCAGGAGACTTGCAACGACACAGGGTATTTTTACAGGCTATTCTGGAGGTGCCTCTGTGCTAGCTGCTGTCCAGGTTGCCCAGGACGCACCTGAAGGCACTGTCGTCTTGACGGTCGCTTGCATTTGTTTTTTTGCAGCGCATGCTCCTTTTCAGTAGACAAAACAGGCCACGCGGTTGTCAACTAGGCAAGAGACTGCTAGTAGCGTGGCAGCCCAGGTCGTCGCAGACACTGGTGAACGATATCTGTCAACGCCGCTCTTCTCACAGGTCAGCGCCGACATGAACGAGGAAGAGCTAGAGATCTCAAGATCGACTGCGAGCTTCCAGTTGACTGCGGCAACTTCGTGAATTGCATAGGTTTAGATGGGAAATCCTTTGGTGATGCAGTGGCAGCTGCGAGAGCCGTGGCGGGCGATGAAAATCTGTTGCTCCCCACGTGAGCGCCGCTGATCTAGCGACTGTCCCGCAGCACCAGCTGAGCTCACATAAGCCTCAAGTAATGTAAGTGTCACCCATGGGTATATGTCAGCAATAGCGGGACAGTCAGACCAGATGCCTCTGCTGCTTGGGCTGAACATGCCCGCGTAGCTCAGCGAATGCTGCACGCGAGGAGCGTGAAATTGGGGGCGACGGGTTGGAGAGGCTCCATGCTTTAAGTGTCCTACAGTGCTACAGGCCCTGCTGTTTGTATAGTGAGACGAGTGCTTCGGTGACCTGAGACTTGTAACAACTTGTAGAGGTACCGCGTCAACAAGAAGCTGCAGCGTTACCTTTCCGGAGCCGGGCTGCTGCCGCCACCTCAAAGCTTCGAGTCTAGTCGAGTGCATTCTACCTCCGAACTTTTGCTGCTGCTGCTGCTACTACTACTACTACTACTACTACGACTACTATGCCAACCACAGGCACCAGTGCGCACATGTACACGGAACCGGCAATGGAAACAGATTCCAACAGTCGGTGCCTGGACCTGGCTGGTCGTTCGGAAAGGAGTAAAGCAGTGCCGTTGTCGACCGAAATGCAGAAGGTGTTGTCTTTCTTGCAGGCCGAGATCATGATAGGTCAATACCTGTCATTAGAAGGTAAAGATGAGGGATGCTTGTTCTCACGTGTCGCGGTCCCTACTGTGGGCAGCGCACGTAGGTTTTTGCAGCTTCTGCTCCCGTGCGAGGCTCGGAGTCGCTGAGCAATGTGTACTTCCGAAGGCCGGGTTTGTCAGCTCCTCTCCGGCTTTTTCGCTCTTCATTGGCCGTTCGTTCTCCCTCTCTCCCTCTCTCCTTCGTGCATGGACGGCAGAGGCTCTTCGCCACCCGGGGGCCTCGGAGCTTCTCGGCAGTGCTGCAGAAGTGCTGAAAACTCGGCGCCTAGCTGTGGTGACTTGGCGAGACTACATCTGTGTCGCAACGGTTTGGCTTCCCAGCCTGTTCTTCTTTGTAATGACAGTGGCTCCTCGTTCCTACTCGCCACGTTAACGGTACATCGCAATGGCTGGGTGAGCAGGGAGAGCGGTTTGGCTTGTTTTTTTTGCAGGGAGAAGCTGTCAAAAACAGCAAAAGCAGCACGACAAAAACAGGAGTATGTGGATGCGTCTGCTGCTAAGGTCGATGGTGCATTCCCAGCAGATGCGATTGCACAGGTGCTGCGGGTTCGGGTTATGCCAGTTTTGTGACGATCACAGGGCACAGAGTAGAGTGAGAGGCATGATGACTTTCACTTCGCGGGTTTTGTTGATTTCTGCTGCTTGCTGTGCACTGACGTATACTTGATGGGGGGCTGGTCATGGGTTGCACTCTGGCCGGCTCATAGTGCGCCCTCGCTATGCTCAGGTGCAGTCTGAACTGAGGATGCTTCGAAGCGAGCAGGTTCTGCAGCACCCTAGCTCATGGGATGGGCTTCAGTGGCTTCAGGCAAGTCAGGACTTGCAGCTTAGCAGCGTATGCCAAGGAACGACGTGAATGACGTCTGCAACCCACTTCAGGACACAAGACAGTTTGTCCAAGCGCTCGCTTCGATCCTGCAACGTCGCAGTCGCTCGTGGCAACCCTCGGCGGGCCCTTTCCCACCTTGTCCCCTTTCAGCATCATGGCAGTCGATGAAGCGCCTATAGTGCAAGTCGACATGGGAAGGGAAGGAAGCAGTTCTTGCTGTCTGGTCAGATCGATCTTTCAAGTACCCTGCGCCGTAAGTTCCTGTGTCAGTGTCAGTCACCAGCTTTTACCACCGGCTGCAATGCAGGAGGCGAAATACCTCCCATATGGTGCCGACGATGCTGCAAGTGCTTTCCGGGCCAGGTGCCCCATCACCATGCAGGCCACAACCCCAGCAAGAGCTGTCCCACAGCTCCACTTCTCGGAGTAGCTTTGGCAGGTCACTCGACAACTTGCCGGTCTTGCAGCAGTCCTAGAAGAGCTTCTAGGTGGGAAGGGCAAAAGCGTGAAGGAAGGGGTGTAGACAGGCAGGGCAAGCGCAAAGCTGTAATCTTTCGTGGAGGTCTGGACCTGGCAGTGCCGCAGTCGGTCATGGCTGCTTGCTATCCCCCACATGCGTCCTACAAGATGCACCTGGACAGCTACTTCTTGCAGGGCCACTCGCTTCTATCCAGTTGCCAACTTAAAGGCGACAGCATCTGTTGATGACTCTCTTCCAAGACAGGAAAGCCGACTGTTGATGCTGGTCCAGAGCATGCTCATCGTTTTTCTGTCAGCTGGCGCTCGAATATCGCACTCATTCATTGTGTGTGATGTGCCGGCAGATTCTGGACCATGGTCCTGATCATCGCCAGATGCACGGATTCGTCGCGTTTGGAACGTTTCAATTGTCTTCGGACGACCGCTCCAGCCCAGCCTTTGTTCCAAGATCTTTGCATATCGTATTCCAGAGCCCGTCAAGAAAACATGCTCGAAACCATGTTCGATCCATGATTTACTTATTTCCGTCTCCACTTCTTCGAACTGAAATGACGATCAAATGACACCGAAATGATTTAGATATTATTGTTGTGTGGAAGAGCTTTCTGCCTGTCAGTACTGGATTTTGCCCGAAACTGGACAGAAGCTCCCAAGCCAACAGCCGAGGATGTCCGGATGATGTCCCGCGCAAAGCGGCTTGCCCAAACACCGAATCGCACTAGCAGTCATGTGAAGTCATTTTCTGGCTGCAGGTCACCGTGCTGCTGTACTGCAACCACGGCTGGAGCCCCAAAGTTGGCGGAGAGCTGCGGGCCTGGGGACCTTTTGATCAAGGCCATGGGCTTGGGGAGAAGGGCGGAAAATGGCGCCGCGCCGAAATTCCTTGAACAGGCCAGGGCCCGGCGCAGACCATTGAGCCGCTTCCAGGGCGCATGGTGGTTTTCCTGTCAGAGGACGTTCCGCCTGTTCTGCTTACAGCGCTGCTCATTATCAAGCACGAGATTGAAGCAGATCTTCACTAATGAATCGTAAGAACATCGCACGGGGAAAGGCCAGGGGTTGCGAGCCTGACCCCTTCGCACCAGTTCAATGGATCGCGAGTTCAGGCCACGTTCTGCTTGGTTCGTGGCTTAACATATCGAAAACTGCTTCCCTCAGTTCCTTTGAGGAGATCTGGCATGAGGTCCTCGAGTCGCACGGCGAGCGGTTTGCGCTGACGCTGTGGGTACATGACCGTGAACGTGCAGAGCTAGGAAATAGTTGAAACCGATCGGTCGACGGTACAACTGTGTGCTCGCTGCGATGCTCGCTAGAGTGAAGGAATAACCCTCAAGGGCTCACAAGCTAGCCTTTGATTTGATCGGCAGATGCCAAAGGAGCCCCAGGCCAGTCCCAGTAGCACGTCGGGTCACGGCACCCCGCGCGTGACGCAAAAAAGTTGCCGATCAGTTGTGATAGTCAAACTCGCTTACGGGCTTGCCGAGGTCACGACGGGTTTGGAGGGTTGCTGCTTTTTGCAGTTTTCAGTGTACGTCTCCAGGTCCTCCGCGTGGCAGTGCGGAGTCCATGCGCACAGCCTGCTTGCATGCTAAAGCCCTCCCGGCCAAGGGTTGACAAGTTCAGCTTCGTTGAGGACACCAGTTCCCTGGCGGCCTTGTCAAAGTAGGGGACCATTGTGAGTCGGTGGCAACGGGCCCCGCCTTTGCTGCATTTGAGGCACGTCCTCCGCCCAGCTGCGACGTAGGCCGACCTATCGCACTCAGCTGCTGTCTGATCGAATGCCGAAGGCTGGGCTTCGGCATCATTTGTCGGAATGTCTTCCTCACCTAGCGCGGCTCGCTGAAGTCCTTAAAGCCTCCGTCCCCTGTCCAGTCGCAGAGCGCTGGCGAGCTGAGGACCCTCCTGCACCGAGCGGAGTGATAGTTGGTGTCAACGTTAAGTCCGCGCCCGGCGGCCTTGGCCCAGGGTATGAAGTCAAGCGCGAGGCACCTTCCAGAAGCCTAACCACGGGTGGGGCTTGGAGAGCGCAGAAACCGGGTGACTCAGCCGTGGGCCAGGAGCGGGATTAGGTGGGGCCTATAGTGGTTTGTGTCGCCTGGGCCTCCGGCCTGACCGCATTTTCCATGACCGAGCGGTGTTCAGCATGCCACGTCAGAGAGTGTTACAGGAAGTGCGGCCTTGATAAAGCTGCCTGTGGGCCTATGCCTTTCGGATGAGGAGCGGGGGTGGAAGCCCTACGTTTGTTTCGACACCCTCCTTCGTGAATCTGGGAAGAACCAGGCCGCCCAAATTGCCTGCTAAAGACAGCTGAGTTTGAAGGTATGCTTCGACATGTCGGCTTCCGTCGTGCCGGTTTTGCATTTATGCCGACGCTAGGTTAGGCAGCATGCATGTCCTTCATGCAGGCCTCCGATGGTGCGCTGAGGGTTTTCCTTTGGCTGACTCAGAGACAGTTGAACGCTGCCGCTACCTCAGCCCTCCTCTCTGGATGCTCTCGCAGAACAAGTGGAGCAGAAACACAACGTTTGTGTTGCTAGCTTGGATGTGGTGTCCCCATACTTGGACTGCAGCCACAAGAGCTCCCAATTGTCACCACTCTTCACCCAAAGGGCGAAGGAGTGAGGTTCGCAGAGCGCAGGCTGGAGTTGCCCCAACGGTGGCAAGCTTGCGCAGCCTGCTCTTAGGACGGCAACTCCACAGAAGCAGCCGACAATCGGCTAGTTCACTTCACGCAGGCCATGCATTTCACCTCTGTGGGTTCCAGGGGGAAACCGAAAAGACTTCGTAGCAATGCAGCATGAGTGACCGTGGCCGTAGGTCAAGGACAGGGCGGGATCGGCATCGACTCGTCTTAGTTACACCACACCCTCAGCTGTTACGTAGCATTTGTGCTGGGGGCGTTGATTTGAAATAGCTGTGCAGTAGGATATATCTCGCAGCTGTATGCATCTCTCACAGTGCGAGGCTGTAGCAAGATTTGAAAGTTGTTGCGTGCTGTGTGCCAGATCCATTTGAAAGAGCAGCTTGACACGCATTTGGCACCTCTGTGCAAGTGAGCCGGAGGCACCCGGGGGCCGGGCGCTTTTTGAGGCTTTGTCCTTTTGAGCTGAGGTCATGACCAAAAACGGAGGCCAGAGGATGAAACATCCAGGTTTGTTGGCATCTGAGTGCCCTTGTTGCAGGCCACGGTGTAGAGCCTTTGAAACCAACGGAAGAGGAGGCTGGTCAAGGGGTGAAGCTGCTCTGTGCTCTTGGCAGTTGGTACATCGCCAAGGCCAGTTTGGAGTGCTCCACTTCGGCGACGTCACAGGAGGTTCAGGAAGAGGGCCGCCACTCCTCCTTATCCTTTGGCAGTTGCATGCACACGGAACCCTTCGCAGGAGGAGCGGCAAGTGTCACGGGAGCGCTCCTCGAAGACACGCAGAAGCCCTGGCAGGGCTTGGTTTAGTGGCTTAGAGTGACGTGGGTCCTCATGGATGCTACATTTTTCGAGAGCTGAGGCTTCCATGTGCAGCTTACAAGTGTGCACAAGGAATGATACCACACGGCAGTGGCTCTGTAAGGCTGGGCAGATGTGGATTCGGATGAGGATGAAGATCATCATGGCTTTGTTGGCTTCAACGCCAAGACATCATCGCCGGACAAGATGCCTGTGCAGGGTGAGACTCTCGACGTATCTTTGTCTCTTCTGAACGCCCCTGCAGTGTTGCTTGTCATTCTGGGCATCGGCGGGGAGGGGAGGGGATATGGGAGATAGGAGAGTGCTTCAATTGCTGCTGTCAATACGAGGAGCGATGAGGACCACGATGAAGATGACCAAGACGACAGCGAAAATGATGAAGGTTCGGATGAGCCACCAGAGGAGGAGTGGCAGGAGGCAGCCGACTTGTGGGCAGTTTCAGATCGCGGCTTCAACGCTGTGTGTTTGTTGTTCCAAGCCGAGTAAGCCAGGTCAAGAGGGAGAAAAAACCAAAGGCCATGCCAAAGCCAGAGGCAACCAGGCCCCGACTGGAAGCACGTGCACGGATTGCTTCCGTGGGTTGCCACGTGTTGCCACGCTTCCACGGACGTGGTCGAAGCTGTTCTGCAGGCCCCGCCGAGAGCGCCGGGACCGTGGACGCCGAGGGGGGGAACGTAAAGATGCAAAGAAGGCCATTGACCCATGTAGGCTTTTTGGGGTGTCTTGATCGGTTACCGGCCTGGAAGGGAATAGATGCCCATCCAAGCAGGCAGGCGTTTGAATTACGACAGTACAACCCGCGAAGACTTTGAAGCTTGCAGACTAACGAAGCATAGGGTGGAACGACATGATATCTCTGTGGAAAAGGGAAACACACCAATACATCAACGTTCGCGATATGGGCGCAGCGCGGGCGCAAAACACTGCACTGCATCAGTGCACCGGCAGTTTAGGCTATTCCCGGTTCGCTGCACCAGCAAAGTTGTTGTGCTTCGACTTGTTTTGGCAGACCATCTTGAAGTTGAAGTGTACGGTCAGGGTTCACGGTGCAGGGCTTGGGGTTCGAGTTTAGTTCAGAGCTTAGGGCCCAGAGCGTCGGGCTAAGGGGTTTAAGGGCAAAGGGCTGAGGGTTTGGGTTTGGGGGTTGGCTCGGTGTTACGGCGTGTGTATGTATTCTCGAAAGCAAACCTGCGATGTCTGATGCATCTGCCAGTTTGTTCTGCCATGCTACCCAGGATGTGAAGCAATCTGAGCATCCGTGGTCTCAAGAACCGTTCCACAACGCTGCACCATGTTGGTCGTCGCCATCTGCCGGGATGGGCCTTGTCGTCATGGCAGGACGAGAACGGACAAGAGAGAGAGGGCCAGCAGTCCACGAGGAGCGGGCCTGTTGTTTGCTGTCCTCTTTCCCGATACCCTGCAGTATGCAAGAAGCCGTAAGAAGAACCGGTTTCTATTCGTACAGCGGCCGCAGGAGACATAGAGATGGTGACAGGACTCGTCGCGACCGTCGACGAGCAGGCGAGACGTGCAGCCTATTCTGTGGAGCCACGAAGCATATGAACGCAAACATGGAGTTCTTCAAGTTCTTCTAGATTTAATGGTATGCCGAGACAATGTTTTTGCCTGGACAGGAGGTGGAGGTGAAGCCCCGAAGCCGCGGCAGGTGGGGTGGCAGTTGTCGAGTGGCGGTGGGTTTCAGCCAGAGCGTTCCAAGTTTCCCTGGCAGTTTCTGAACCTTACAGCCTGCTTCTGCTGCTTTCTGAAGCTTTCTGGCATTGTTCTTGAGCTAGCTGCTAGCTTGCGCGGCCACCTGTGCACTGGAACCGCATGCGGTTCACTTGCATTTTGCCTCTTCTACTGGAGCTGTCCGTGCTGCTTCGAGGAGGAGGCGAAGAAGCCAGCTGAACCTGATTGGAGGCGCAGGGACCGCGGCGAGAAAGATGTGGAGGCAGAGGGATGATGCAATCCTTTCATTCAGTGACTGCTGGGTTTGCTTGATTCGGAGGCGACTCCAAAGCCTGTCGAGAAGAAGGGCCCACCAGCGCGAGAGCAAAAGGCGCCAAGGGAGCAAAAGGAAGCGCCCAGGGAACCAAGAAAAGAGAACGGGGCCGGTCACGAGAAGAAGCCCGAAAAGCAGGCGCACCTGACCTGGTCTGCCTGTGCCACGGTGCAGCACGCAAAGCAATGCCACTGCAAAGGGCAGCAGGAACTCCGGCGAGGGGGACACTGGCAAATTCCGGCCGCCGAACAGAAGGCCCGATTCCCAGTATATCAGCGTCCCTCTCTTGACTTCTGCTCTCGCACAGATTGCACATGTAATCTGTGTTCCATCTAGGTCGCAGGACTCCCAACCGCGCCAATCACGACAGACCTCAGGTGGAGGACTCATCAGCAGATTTCGCCATGTGCTGTTGCTAGGAGAGCGTTAGATCGCAAATTGCAGACTCAGGCCGTTCAGAGGATGGTGGCCGAAATCGTGGTGACCGCCGCAGGCAACCGATTTTCTATTTTTTTAACGCGTTTTGTGCTACATGCGCGTAACCTCCTAGCCGGATGCAGACAACAAGTTTTTTAGCGCAACAACCATGAGCACTTCCCATTCCGAAAAGCATATTTGGGAGATATGAACGCGGACTGTGTCGGAACAATCTTGTCGTTATTGTTTCAAGGCACCCAGCACATGATCAAGGCGACGTTGTCTATACAGGTAGCAGCGGCCATGTTTTGAACACTGCTCTGAGAAACTTCTTGGACATTGTCTTTTCCGAGTTCCCCGTTCTTCTCCAAGTTCCGCAGCAGCATGACATGCTGTAGCCCGCATTAGTTACATGCAATGTCTGGACCCAAAGGATGAGAAGCTGAAGATTGGGGTTGCGATGTTGGGGCTTGTCGAAGATTCTTCTGGTAGTGCAGTGAAACTCGCCATTATGACTCATCTGGTTTTGCCACACCCAACATACAAAGGAAAAAGACTTGCAGATGGGAGAATGAATGCAGCGGATAGGACGGCATTGGCTTCGATCATGCGTGCAGTGCCTTCGAGATTTTGATGATGTTGATTTGCAGCCCGAAGTCCTGCACGACAATCAGGGGTATCGGGGCTTTGCGGTTGGTTAAAGGTGGAGTCCAGCCCATCAATGCCCTAAGAAAGCCTGCAGCCCCTGGAACTTTCTCGCAGGTCTGGCAATGGGAACCGAGGCCAAGGCTCCAGTGCGGAGGACGGGGCATGGTGATTTGGTGTTGGATCTAGGTGTGGGCTTGGCTCTGGCGTGTGTAGACAGGCCTGGTTTGCCAGCCGGATGGCTGCTGCAGCCTGGTCTGAAATTGATCGTTTTGCACGGACTTGCTCCAGCCAGTTGAGACTGAGGCGGCTTGAGTTTTATGACAGACCTCCAGGCACTCTGATTTGCTGTTGGCTTTATTCTTGTACGGGGTTGGCCTGTCTTCGGCTGTCCAGGTTGGGCATGACCCGAGATCTCTCGAGGCATCACCTCTACTGACATGAGAGCTTTGTAGCTATGCCGTGGATGTTTGTTTTTACAGTGCCTCACGCGACAAGCAATGCAAGAACTGTTCCCATGAAGGCTCATGCGGTCTCGTTTTAGGAGCATATCTCTAGAGCACGTGATTTTCGAGCAGAAACAGTTCGCTAGTCGCAGGGCCAGATAGCCAAGACCCATCGAGAGGTGGCCGATTCTTCTTAGTATCGCCGTAAAGCAACTGCTGCAAAATCTGGATCCGGTATCTAGAAGCAATACAATTCGCACGGCGATGCTTTAGTCAAATCGTACGCATGCAGCCAACGATGCTGCGAGACCTCGTGGTCTCGTGTCAGACTACACCATAAACACAAATCAGATAATACTTCCTTCGGACAGGGGCTGCAAGACAATTTTTAAACATGTCGCGAGCATGTTTCCAATATGCTCTGCGAAGTTTGAAGCAAGAAGCAGTCCAGCCCTTTCTCCTGCGACCACTGGGCCAGTTCTGAAGCTCTCGAGCTGAGAACTGTCTCTTGGCTTTTGTATGCCCGCTCCTTGCTGGAAGCGGCTCTGACACCGAGCGTAATCGCCCGGACCGACACCAAGCTCAGGCATAGGGTGCCTGCCATGCTACGCAGCAGACACATATAACGGCGTGTGATAGGCCAACACCATGCAGGCTTTTCCTCACTGCAGCATCCAGGGGGTTTGTGAAATGTCTGGGCTCCATCCCTTGGCCTTTGGAGCATGCCGGGCTGAGCTTCGGGGATGGGCATGGCCCATCAGTCACAGTTTTGCCATGCGCAGGGCAGATGTCTAGCCGCCTAGCCGGTGCTGTGCAACGTTGAAACACATCTATGTGCTTTGCGGCAGAAGCCGAGACGACATCAAAGCTGGACATTTGCGCCCGGAACATCTTTGGAGAGCAGCGGCCACTGGTGTTTGCAACCCTGACGACATTCAGAAATGATAGTATGGTTGCAACCAACTGATCCTTGCCAGCCTTCCTTTTTGCCAGAACCTCTTCCCTGGCCTGCAAGAAAACAAGGCTCAAAGGAGGTCACCATGGTCAAAGAACCCGAGGTTCAGGACCAGGCCAGCTACAGAGGCCAATGCTAAGCCTCTGAGCTGGTTAAGGGGAGGATCTGGCGGCGTTGCGCTGCGGACCTCAGTTTTCACCCGAGGCCATTGCGGCATTAAATTTGCCAGCGTTCCACTATGCCGCTTGCCCCGCGGCATCTGTAAGATGTGTGCGGGTGCTCGAGTGCAGCAGACCGGTGACATTCACCAGCAAGAACAGAAGAGTGGTTGGCCAATCGCATGAGCATGGCATGTCGGAGTCCGCGATCCTTGAGCGCCTGCAACGTCTGCTGACGAAGAAAGTCGTCAATGAATTGATGCTGGCACGTGGTGCGAGCTTGTCAGACAAGTTTGACAAGCTTAGCTTAAGTGCGATTCTATTAGGTTCGATATCGGGCCTTTGTTACCAGCCGGAAGTCGTGAGCGGCTACATCCACACTCTGCCCGATTGAACCTTGCCGGCACACTTTCTCCTTACGAGCCGTGCGAAGCCTACCACAGTCCTCAGATCTTCTGCCTCAATCCAGAACCAGCACGATAGTTATCGGAATCTCGAGACCTGACAGTGTTGAGATTGTCGATGATCCCGGGAGCGCGCGGGGTGTTTAGTAAGGCAAGAGAATAGATGCGGAGAGGTAAAACTCAACCCGAGCCATGAACGTGGTAAAACTGGTGATCACAGAACGGATTGGCCGCTTAACCATCAAGTGCAGACACATGTCAACTCCAATGCTCGTGGTAGTGGTTCCGAGAGGCTTCCACGCTCTGCCAGAGTGCATCTCCAAATTTCATGAGCGTATCTAGCCTGCTAGAGGCTGAAAAGGTGTGCCAACCATGGCTTCAGTTGTGTGCAGTCTGTCACAATGCAGGGATGTAGCCCTGTGGTTTGTATGTCTTGCGATAACTAGAAGGGATTCCGGACGAGGGCAGCATCCGTGTTTCGGATCAAGCAGCTGAGTCGCCGCTTTGATGGCACGGGACAGGAAGACATAGTAGGCAGCAGAAGGAGTATGAACAGAACCTCGTTCTGGTGGGCACACCAGACCTTCATGACAGATCACCTCATCACATAGTGTAGCCAGACGGGCGCATAAGGCCGGCCCCACATGGCCTTGGTTTTGAAAAGCCACGGTCACCGGAGCTCTGTGCGGCGGCTTCTTTGCTGGAGAATGGCCGGGAAGTGAAGGTGTTGATTGAAGCTTCTTTCGTGGTCACTGCCTTCTGATTTGCACTGAGGCGCCCGGACCATGCCGTCTGCCAAGCAGAGGGCGGAGTCACAACTAGCCTCGAGCCCAGAGAAGGGATTCGGCACATGGGAAGTCACCGCAGCGTTTGGGGAAACAGTGCGCTTCAAGTGTTCTTGGATTTCCAAACAACCAGCCAAGCAAAGCCAAGGCCTCTGAAGAGCCCCAAACGGCATGGCCAGCAAGCGAATGCATCACATCGTTTTTGCAGCTGGTTCTAGTCAGTTCCTAGTCCTAGAACTGAAAACCCGCGATTGCTGTCTTGCTAAATCCGCGGCTCCCTCATCTGGGCGAATATGTGCGACATCCACTCTGAAGACAAGCAACCGTGATTGTGTTGGCATTGGGTGTGCAGCGCTTCCCTGAGGTGAGGAGAACGATGAAGCAGCGAAGAACGCTGTTGTAGAGGCTGGCTGAGAGCAGTTCGACCATAGTTTATTGCGCATGACCTGTGGTGACAGGCAAAGCCAGGTTTCGTGAAATCGCTCAGCCCGGTCCTGCGCTTATTTCCCCTGAACTCCTTGGTCACTGGTAGCATCGCAAATCCAGTTTGAGAGGGCCAATTCAGCACAACCTTTGTTAGCTTAGCATGTGTCGGATGGCTTTCTTGCGAACCCTGTTTCTGGAAGTGCAGGCTTCCAAAACTTTTGTTGTCCCTGAGCTCCCGTTTCCAGCTGCCGCTGGAGCAGAACACGGTACACCTGGTGAGCCGGATGGGCTTTGCGGAGTGTCTCGGCTGGCACTTAGTGCATTTGAAAAAGGCGGCCTTCAGTCTCGATCTGCGGCCTCTCACTTCTTTCACAGCTTGCTCTCCCGCTCCCCCTCACCCTGCCCCTCCCCCTCCCCCTCCCCTCCTCCCTGCCCCCAAATATCCCCCCTTTGGTGGAAGGATAAGCATCTAAAAGCTTGCCCTTGCACACGGACAACACAATTGGTTTTCTACACGCAGAAAGAGGTAGTGTCTTGAAATCGCTTGAGACAGAAACCGTTACGGCGCACACATGCAAGTGTTATGCCTTTGCTTAAGGTGCATGAATGTGCATGACATGACTGCAAGTCCTGACCGCCTGAGGTCGTCTAAGACTTTTCAACGAAACAGGCTCTAATATTCTTTTACCGTAAGCAGGGCATTTCCACCCACATGTATGTGTCATAACGAATCTTCATCAAGTGTGATGCGAAGTGAAGTTGGACCCTACTACATTAGGTAAGTAGCACAATGTCAAAAGGTTGCAAAAGCAGAAATTCAGAACGCACACTCTCTGCGTTTCGTCACCTTGTGAACGAAATCTGTCTTGGATCAGCACCATCATATGCCTCTTCGTCCGAGTCAAAGATACCAAGGAAGGTCATGTTTCGGCCCTTGTGATGGCAGGATCATTCGGATCAAAATCCTCCGGTGCTGATGGAATTGGACTAGCCTTCGGCTCTGCTTTTGGCTTTGCTTCAGGCTCAGCCTGATGAGCTGTTAGCTTTGGCTTTGGGCTCGTTCTCTGGTCCCGACGGCCATGATGTCTTTGTCTGGTCTCCACTGGTCTCTGAGAGCATCTCTGTCCCTCCCTCCTTCGGTCCACCTGTGGACAGGGTCGGTGGGAATGCAATTTCCCGGCATTTTTCCCGAGCGAAAGCAAAAAGACAACATATTGTACGCAATGTAGTAACGAACGTGAATGTCCGTTCCTTGGCCTTTGTGCATAAGCGGGAACGCCAAGGTTCCTGCCCGGGGCTGCCGTCCACATAGTCGAGCCTCGGCTCTGAACTCTTGACTGACGTCCTGGCTGTGGCTGTTCGAGCTTTCGGCAATCTGCGAACTCATCTGGAGTCCCAGGCCGCCCTCGTCGGGCTTGTTCCCCTCTCCGTAGGCTACTCGGTGGCAAAGCACGGGCCTCGGCAGGCTTTTTTCGCGTTCTTGTTGGATTTTGTTTGTTAAAGCACCCAGGCTGTGGAGCCTTGGGGGCTGGCGGTTGGCGGATTCCCGAAGCTTCAAGGCACCGTGGCATCCCTAGGGACGCGTTTTTTCGAAGAAATGGCCCAAGCCGAGATTGCTGAGATTCTCCGTTTAATGTTTTTGCTCTGTGCAGGCTGGATGCTTCAGCCGCTGCCCCGCATTTCAGGAGACGGAGAGGAGACTTTTGCTAGAGTCTCTACAGGCTTCATCTACGCGAATGGCATCTTTCCGAGTGCTGCTTGGAATGGCTCCATCACGGGTTTGGCACATTTTCTTGGTTCCTGTCTCATGCGTCCTTGGGGAAGTTGGCCCAGCTAAGGTGTTTTGCGACTATGGCAACAACAACTTCGGACCGCTCCCGGCAAATGAGGAAGACCAGCAAGCGATGCTAAGGCCAGCTGCACAGGAGCTTGCAGACGTGCAGCCATATGTGGCAGCCGGCCAGGTCCACTCCGATCATCGTCGCCAATCACGTTAGCTACCTCGATGTGCCTCGCACAAGAACGAGCAGATTCAGCAGATGGTGCCACGTCAAACTGCTTTTCCCATCCCCCGATACCGACAGTAGATTTGGATCCGGTCAATTCCGGCTTAGTTGCACTAGAAACACGGCTTGATGCTGTCACTTGCAGATGTGGCCCATGCACAGCAGCTGCACATGCCTTTTGAGAGGTTATGGTGCTGCCCCTAGCCTTGCAGATGCCGAAGTTCATGTCGAAGGCAAGCCTGGCGGATTGTTCATACCCGTTCCGGCAGCATTGCAGGGCTTTCTGTTGAACCGCAGAGGCCGGTGTTCGACATGCACCTTTGTTCGGCACGCTTGGAGATGACCTGGAATACATCTGGGTCGCGGCCATGGTCTTTGTCATCGTATGAACCGTAGAAATGCAGGGAATTGTCCACACCAGGTGGATCGCGGATCGAAGGACGCACGAGGTGCTGCCTTGGGAGCCATCAATGAGCATGCCGGGCCTTTAGGGCAAGCCCACAAAGCATGCAGTTGATGCTTGCAAGCTGCGCAATGCTACTCTGAGGTCGCCGGCTGGAAAGATGGAGATCGACCTCTGTTGATCTTTCCAGAGGTCAAGGGCGACATTCGGTGTGTTAGAGAGACTTTTTGCCATATGGTCCTGTCAGGGAACCACTTCGAATGGCACATCGCTGCTGGAATTCAAACAAGGACGCCGCCTTGGACGCCTGGGAGGGTAGCAGTTCAACCAGTAAGTGTCCTACGAGCTTCTCAGAGCCAATCCTGCGATGTGCTTCCAGTTTGTTTGCAATCAACTTTCAGGTGCCTTCGTTTCGGGGGCTCCCGTGTGCCTTGGCTGTTTTATTTGGTATGTGTATGTGCTTGAAGTTAAAAGTGCTGCTGTGCTCCACGCGGCAGATCATTGACAGAATCAGAATGGTCCGGCATTGCCCATCCGTCTGCCGAGGCGGCCTGTGCTCTTGAAGCACTTCGGCTTGGAAGCATCGTCTGTCATGTAACTTAGTCTGGGCTCGGGGTCGTGTTGGGTTTATGCTTGATTCCAAACAAGGCACACTGGTGCCTGGAATCCTGCCTGCACGGCTGCTTGGCGACATTATCGGAAGTATCGGCCTGGAAGCACCGCCTGGTTTGGTACAACAAGCTTTCAAACTGTACACCGTGGCGCAAAGCGGAGGATTACCTGATGACGGACGATGTCCAGAGCTCATCGACTTTTCGTTTCATCCCTCAGCCAAAGCGCGGCTGCTCCGGCTCGCGGGGATTTGAAACTGAGGGCCAACGTTCCTTGTACTCTGACGGCGAATGGGCCACTTGGTTTCATCAGCTTCCAGCCTGAAGTCTGCATAACACTTACGCTTGAAGCCTTCCGCTCCAGTGTGGCTTTTCTGAAGTTGACTGCCAGTTGCCGATTCGTGAGTGCATCGGACACCCGGACTCTGCTGACTGCAATCGAGGCAATGAACTTCTGGGCGCACCTGTTGCACAGCTGTACCATCTTCATCTGCGAGTGCCTGGGTATCGAATGCAACCTTTCTTTTGACGAATGCTGTTGTCCTAAAGCCGACCAGGGAGTCACAAATGACAGGTGGTTGAATGGCTGAAAATGGAGACCATGGCGTGGTTTTGGCACATGCTTGCTCATGCATCCACTTGTTTCGGTCTTTCAAGCGGAAAGTACAACGTCACAAATGCCCGAAACTGCAATATTTCCTTGGTGCGGCGTTCATGTTTTTCGAAATCTTGCTTTTCACCGGGAACGGTGCACTTTTTCGCATGAAAATGCGACTTTCCCAGGCGCGGTGCAATTTTTCTTCAAAGTAGTGTTTTTCTCTAGGCGGGGTGTATTTTTCGCACAACAACATGCTCGCTTCTGCGTCCGTTCCCTCCGACTAGGCATATAATACGTATACGGAGTGAATCCAACAAGAACCTCTGACCGAAGACGAAGACCCTAATGAGTGAATCCAGGAGCCTTTTACAGAAGACGAAGATGCTAAGGAGTGAATCCAGCCGGAACCTTTTACCGAAGACAAAAACCTAAGGAGTGAATCCAGCAAGAACCCGGTACCGAAGACAAAAGCCCTAAGGAGTGAATCCAGCAAGAAC